GAATACCATCAAGAATTAATATGAATTTTCTCAAAGGATCCAGAACATTGGGTTGGATGGGTCGGAATTGTTGGTGAGCTTAGATAGACAATCCATGTACACAAACATATCAGGCGAGAAGGCGGTAAGCGCCTTGCTGGAGATTTTAAAGCGAGAAGAGGACATCCTTGAGGCAGAACGTATACGGAAAGAATCGTTAATACGACTGATTAACCTAAGAGTAAGGACCACATATTTAACATTTAATGGCAGTACCTACGAGCAAATATTTGGACTACCGATGGGATCTCTACTCTCACCTCCTTTGGCAAATGTGTACATGTGATGAGATGTATTTACCCTATTTCGTGTAAGGTGATGATATGGCAAAGGCGTGACCATGACACTTACTCAGAGAGTAAGAGATGGGGTAGCAAGGGTCGAGTGAAATATGTGAACCAAGGAGAGGGAAGACGGATTTCACGGGGCAAGAGAGAGACTGTGGTAAGACCTAGGGAAGGAGAACTGCGTAACAATATTGCAGACTCTGATCCACATTTCCAGCACAAGGATCAAGGGGGTGGGGTAGGGTGAGAGGGCCAGCGTGGAGTGCAGAGGGTTCTCATGAAAGCTGCTCAAAAGGGCACATCGTACCACATTTAATTAAGCAAGTAAAAATTGTGATAGTGAAGGCGTGATAGGAGGATATATGAAATTGGAATAGGCCAGGGCAGAAGAGGAGATACCATAACTGTTTAGCACACTTTTGGTTAAAGGATCGGCTTCACTTGTCTCTTTGACGAGTTGTAATATGGTGCTACGAATAGTAAAACTCACTGACGATGCCGAAAACGATGCCAGCGAAACGTCTGGGAATGTACCACGTCCACAGTCCGAATTTGGAAATTATTATTCATACAATAGACATCGCACAAGGTTCGTTCCTCTACATCTTCCTACCAATATGACCAACTTGCAAAAACCAGGTCAAACAATTTCTCTAAAGCATTATGGTTAAATATTTAGCTCAGAATTAATTATTTTACTATTTATCTTTGGAATCTTTGTTGTTATTGTATCCAAATCACATATCACTGCTCCCTCTTGTCTTTATCCTACCTCACATCAGCTAGATGTTCTGTTGATTGTGAAGCGCTACGAGTACGTGAACCTGTTTCATACTATCACCGATTGGTACAACGCCTTTCTAGCCATGCGCTGGGGCCATCTGCCGGCTAGCCGGGTTAAGATTCTTTTTGTTGATGCTCATCCGGCTGGTTCCCTTGACGAAGTGTGGGATCGGCTATTTCCTGCCGGTGTCTGGCAGATTAAATCGGTCCGCAGACCCTTTGTTACAGGCAACAAAACTGAACAATATGTTTTTATAAATCAGGTGAGCTTT